CTCTGAAGTATGTCAAGCTGAAAGGTAGTGCCAGGCCTAAAATCACCTGAGGAACGTCCCAGGTGAGCACCTTGTTTAGGAATGCCAGTACAAGCCACTCCTACAGGGCTTCCTTCACAAAGACCAAGTGAAAGGCATCCCAGTGATTCTCATCCTTCATAGGCCAGGTACCCTGAGCCTGGGAGAGAGGCTACCCAGGTGTGGCTGTCTTAAATATATAATATAAACTTAACATACAATGTATGTGTTTATGTACAAACTTAGGTCTAAATCCTCTGAAGGCACCAGATCCTGCCTGATTTTGAAACTACCATAATAACATCCAAGAACTAACCAGGGCTGAACTTTCTTGATACTTGGATGGAAGACCACTAAAGAATACCAGATGCTGTAGGCTTTCATAGGAATTGGCAAAACAACCTCCAAATATTCCTTGCCTAGGAAAACCCTATGATATTCATTGAAGGCACATATATACACACACCACTTTTAATTCATAAAATAAATTAAATGCTGTACATGCAAGTTATTTGAAGAAACATCTTAATGATAAATATATCAATTAACTTTGGGAGACCAGGGTTCAAATGGTTCTGTGCATGTGCTGGAGTTTTCTGAGTCAAGGCCCTTTTAGAATGGTTACTTCAGTCCTGGCTTCTATTTTTGCAGCCATCTACAGAAGCAAAACTGATAGGCTCACTGAAAATGTGAGCAATGGCGTTGTCAGTTAACTAGAACCCCAGCGTTGGTGTCCTCTTGTGTTTTTCTGAGCATGCCCCCTCAAAGCCAATGGCTTCCTATTTATCAGAAGCCTATTGCCAGCATATCAGCTATCTTTTAGCAGTCCTCTCTCCACACCTACCTTTTGCATTACCTTGGCCATTCTTGTCTTAGGAAAACAGGTTTGTAAACCAATAAAGTATGTATCATAACACATTACCTTTGGGTAGTATCTCTACAGCAAGGGCAGCAATCATTTGGCCCTTTGCATATTGAGTTGCATTGACTAGGAATGCTGGGAGGTGCTTTCTAACAATGTATGTGGATCCATGTGATGCCACCCTAGTTCTACACCATTGATGCTCTTCTGCAGACTTCCATATATGTTGAATCATGACCCACATCATCCTTG